GCTCTTCCTACCCTAGGACACATCATGCTGTATTATGATTGTGTTGTTCATTTCTCCAGTTTCATTACTTCTTTGGACACTGGTGAGTTTAAAGTTAAAGACTTTCTTAATCTAATTGATGACATTTTCTACTCTGTGAAATACGTTATATTTTCTACTCCGTAAAATATTTACTGAGGCCTTGGTATTTTTCCCAGTGCTTTGTGGGTTATATATGGGTTAAAATATTAATCCTTTGTAATGTTTCTTCTAAGTATTCTTGAGAATTTTCTGCCTTTTAATCTTGTCTGTTTTTTTTTTGACATATAGAAATACCAAATTTCTATGATGCTAACTCTACCAACTTTTCTTTATGATTTCCATTATTATGTTTAAACAGGAAACTTGAGAAATTTTAATGGAGAGAGCAGAAAAAAGAAGAGGCAATTGTATTTTTATCATAGATTCACCAAAGATTTCATTTGGTTTTTCCAAAGATCTTTAACAATACCATTAATCCCCTTCTTTAAGTTCAGCATCTAAGTCACACAAAGGAATTCTGTGGCTCTTTATAACTGTAACCCATAATATAAGTACGTACTTTGATGGTGGATTCATAGCAACCTCAGGTTTCAAGTGAGAATAAATTCTAAATTATAGAGAAAGTGGGATTACCTAGTTCCCATGTCATTTCTCTCCTCTGGGTTAAGTAGACTAATTTTAAAGACATAGGGGCTGAGAACTAACACTGATAAGATAGAAAATAGGTCTTGATGGGCACTTAGATGCTTCAAATGAATGTCCAAACAATTCGAACCTATAGTTTTTAGAACCTACTGATGAAACAATTCAACCATTGTCAACTATCTCTGGGAAGAATTTTGCTCTTACTATTCTTTACATGACAGACAGTATCCTAGGATTTTTTGGTATATTAATCCCAATCGTCAGAAAATATTTCTTTTCTTTCTTTTTTTAAGATTTTATTTATTTATTTGAGAGAGAGAGAATGAGTGAGAGCACGGGCAGGGGGAGGAGAAGAGGCAGAGGGAGAGGGAGATGCAGACTCCCCGCTGAGCAGGGAGCCCGACAACTCAGGGCTCGATCCCAGGACCCTGAGATCATGATCTGAGCTGAAGGCAGACCCATAACTGATTGAGCCACCCAGGCGTTCCACAAAATCTTTCAAAATAAGTATTTCACAGATGAGAAAACAAGGGCTCAGAAAGGCTAAATAACTTGCTCAAGCTTACCTAGTATACAAGTAGTGGAGCTGGGATTTGAACTCAGATCTCTGCTGATGCAAAAAAATCTATACTTTTCCTACTATGCCAACTGCCTTCCAGAACCCTATCTACTTCATATCAAGAGCTTCCAATATGCAAGGCATACGGCTAAGTACATTATCTCATTTACCCACAGAGTAATACGCTTGATATTATTGGTCATTTGATATTGATATTGCTGGCAAGATTTTAAAACTAGTAGTTAAAAAGATGGTTTTTGAGCAATGGGAAAGGGCTCAATCACTAGGAGCCAGTAAGGCTTTGTTAGGAGTAAATCATGTCCGCTTATCCTCATAATGTTCATTTTTAATTCGGTCACCAGCTAAGAGCAGAGGAATGGTGGAGTTATTCTGACAGGCATTTGAAAAAGTCTTTCTTATTATCCTATTTCTTTCTTTTTTTTTTTTTAAAGATTTTATTTATTCATTTGACAGACAGAGAGACAGCGAGAGAGGGAACACAAGCAGGTGGGGTGGGAGAGGGAGAAGCAGGCTTCCCGCTGAGCAGGGAGCCCGACGCGGGGTTCGATCCCAGGACCCCGGGATCATGACCTGAGCCGAAGGCAGACGCTTAATGACGAAGCCACCCAGGCGTTATTTCCTATTTATTATCCTTATTATCCTATTTCTTGAACAGTCTGAGCTAGATGATAATATAATTCAGTGAACTCAGAGAACTCTTGACTAATGGAAGATGTTGTTAGACCAATCTTTTTTGATTTATTAATTAATCAGGATAAGGACATGGATGGTATCAACTCTGTTGATCCAGTGAAGAAGCCAAGAGGAACAACTGATACGTAAGATGAATGAATCTAGATCCAAAAAAATTTCAACAGATGAACTGAATGAGATGAAATTTAACACAGCTGAAAGGGAAGTTCTCTAATATGTTCCAGGAAAAAGTGTTCATGTATTAGTTGGGGGACACATTGCTTTATAGTTTTTTGTGAAGAGACTGAAGAATCATTTATGTGAAGAATCAGGTGATGGGAGGAGGCATGAACCACCGCTGTGTATCTGACTGAGGACACCTATGGTGCCCCTTTCCCACTCTTTCATCATGAGGCCCCTACTGTGCCTTCAAAGGGACCTGATAAACGGAACATGTGCTGGAGGGAGTTTCTATCACATGGGGACTCAAATGCATGTCTCCAATTACATGATCAACAGTGAAAGAAACCAGAAAGGTTTAACCTGGAGAAGACTTAAGGAAGACTGAATGTCTGTCTCCAAACTTCTGATGGGCTAAATTGGAGAAGAACATGGAAAAGGTACTTGGTATAGGTGGGCTTGGAGGGGGAGAGCTAGGGGAGGAAATCTGACAGGTTAGACTTGGCCCCATATAAGGAAGAACTTTCTAACATAGCCATAGAGAAACAGAATGAACTATTTCAAAGAAGTCAGTCCTTTAACCTGGAACTCTTGCTCAATCAGACACAAGAGTACTGACCATTTGAGAGGGATGCTGCAGGGGGAATTTTAGCATTCCATGGAGGTTTGATCATATGGTTGCTAAGATCCCTTCCTAGCCAGAGATTCTACAGTATTCTGAAATTAAAACTTGGCCTCTGTAAAATATGCAGCTACTGATATAAGAAAAAAGTGGTTAGTGTGAAAAAGAACAGAAAGCATTAAATTCCAAAATCAATAAGAAAACACTAATTATATGACTTAAGTAAGGCATGTTTCCTAGAACTCTAGCTATTCAGTTTATTTATCTGGCCTAGTTCCCAAACTTGTCAGCGCATAGGAACACTCGCTTCCCTGGGCCACCTCTGGAAGGCTCGGATTTAGCAGATCTGGGCAAACTGTAATTTTAAAAAAATTCTCTTGGTGATTCTGATGCTCAAGCAATTTGGGGGGGCCACCGAAAACCTAAACGTACTTATAGGGGTACTTATATTTTGCATAAGAAATATATACGTATGTATGTGTCTGTGTCATGCTTGAAAAAATCTTAATAATGATTCTAATCAATCTGTTAATATTTAAGGCCAGTGTAGTTTAATATTTAAGCGCCTACGCAGGGAGCAAACTCTACTTCAGTATTCTAAGCTCTAACAGCTTAGAACATAAAAAAAATATCACATCTCTGGCTTTACAACTTTTAACATAATGAATAGATCTTTTCTACTTTTTCAGCATTTCTATCTTAGATAGAATGTTGTAAAAAGTAATGACATTCCCTCTTAAACAAATAACAGAAAAAAAATAAAGAAAACGGACATTACTCACACATACATACATTCTAGCTTAAATATCTTTTTTTTCCTTAAGTTCCCACGTGGATTGGCAAAGTCTCAGAAAATGCAAAAAGTCGTCATTCCCTGTTAAAGCTCATTAAGAGCTTACTAGTATTAATAAAAAACTGTGTGTGGGGATAGTAAACAAATCAATATTCAATTTCTTAAAATTATAAATATGGAAATGTGTTTCCTCAATCCTTTATGTTCAACTTACAAGTTTAAAAAAATTTTTTTTATAAATCTAATAAATTTTAAAAATGTTTTTCAGAGAGCTTTTTGTACCTAGTCAGTTAAATTCAAGGTGGTCAATTTTAATGTAATGAGAATGGCCTTATTAAATCATTGATAAATTTTGATTCTCTCCATAAACAAAGAAGGGGACTCTTTTTAAGATTGGTGTTAGTTTTTTAAGCCTTTCTAAGTGTACACTATATGAAGGAAGTCCTTTCCCAGGAGTATCGTAAGAGGTCGTGGTTGTCATAAAGCTGCTTCCTTGCCTGTTCTCACAAAGACCTTTCGAGAGAAGAGGACAGAACTCCCATCACCCAGTACCCTTTGATTCAGAACATCAATCCGTTGTCTAAGACTTTCTGGACTTCAAAGCAAATGATTTTTAAGACTTGTCCTGGCTAAGGCTTGAGTCCCCTCCCCTCCCAGGGGATGCACAGACATACTGAAAGAAGAGAGGAAGAAGAAACAGATGAGTCTGCCCTAAGTTTCCTATAGAGTACAAGGCCGGTGATTACCGAAGATTTGGAAGACATAAGGAATTTGAAGGAACCCACACAGGAAACACATCCAGATCCAAAAGAATGGGACTTTTATATATATATATCCATAAAAGCAATATTAGGAGACATTATTTGTATTTCCTGAACGTTAAACTTTGAACGTCATTTTGCTGAAAATAATTTCTACATTAGATAGATAGACTTCACGTTAATTGATGTAAAAATAGTGACTGTATTTTTCAGAAAATCTTTTTTTTTTTCTTAAAGATTTTATTTATTTATTTGACAGAGAGAGACAGCGAGAGAGGGAACACAAGCAGGTGGGGTGGGAGAGGGAGAAGCAGGCTTCCCGCCAAGCAGCGAGCCCGATGTGGGGCTTGATCCTAGGACCCCGGGATCATGACCTGAGCTGAAGGCAGACACTTAATGACCGAGCCACCCAGGCGCCCCTTTATCAGGAAATCTAATAAAAAAAATCCTTTTACTTGGTTTTTTGATATCTGGCAGGTTGCCACATGCATCTCATAGTGAAAATGGTCATGGCTGACAATGAACTGGTCAATCAGATAACGCTGAATTTTAATGAATTTTTACCAGAGGAGAGAGGAGAGCTTTACCAAATTCTAAACTGAAATTGAAAACAGAGAGCTTCTGAATGAACCCCTCTGATGCATATACAATTCCTTTCAATTACAGTTTTGACAGGTCAAATATTTTCAAAACTTTTCCTTTAGTAGGAGGAAATGTTCTACTTACAAATGCACAAGACTATGAGAAAAAGGAGGTATGTGGCCAGCTCCCGTAAAACACTTTTAAGATACTTCTCTCGGTTAGTGTTGCTTTCTTCCATGAGTCTTGTTCCCCAGAGACCTTTAAAATAATAATGAAAAGTATGACACTTTATTTTTAAAAATCTCATGAATGGCAAAGAAGAAACATTAAATGGTATAACCTTTAGGGGGAATTCTGTGTATATATATATATATATATGTGTGTGTGTGTGTGTGTATATATATATATATATTTTTTTTTAGCATGCTCTGAATGTAACTAAGAAACTGTTTTAGCAGGAGTGCCTTTTATTTAAGAATACATCAGCCTCTACTGTCCCCCCAGATGTACAAAACACAAGGCGACAATCTGATCATTGTCTAAACTCCAAATCCCATCAGAAAATGTCTTAGTAAAAATTTATAAAGAGAACAGGAAATGAGGGCACCCCAGAAGAACATATTAAATAACTGTGCACACACACATCTGCTCTTCCTGTGTGGGGGAGGACACAATCTGGCAATTATCCTCTTACTAAACCTAGTTAGGACATGATGTAACTCTATGGCACATGACACCTTTTGGATCACCCCTGATGAAAAGAAAGCCTGGATGGAGCATCATTTCACTATGGAAATGTCCGCTGGCACAAAATCTTGCTACTCTGTACCATCTCTCTCCTTTAAGAAACTCAATGCTGACTGACTACTCTAAACATGCTTAGCTTAACAGATTTGAAAAATGCTAACTGACATATCGTCTTTAAGTTAAAAGCAACAATCGTTCAACTTCTTTCTCTCTTTGGAGAAAGAATAAAATCAGCAGCCATGTTCCATATTTTAGCAGATGGAAAAAGTGTTGGGCTGGCTGAGTGGGGATGACATAACCCTCCGCGAGCTTGCTGGAGGCAGTGACCACAGTTTTGGACTCGCTCAGCAGACAGACATGGTGGCCATCCAAAACCCCCATTAATGAACAGTGTGGTAAAATCACATTGCTGGCTACTTGGAAGAGCCTTCATATTTGCCAAAAAGGACAAACTTCTCAATCCTTTCAGTTAGATTAGGTCGGCTTGTGAATGGCAGCCAACCTGGCCCCGGCATTCTGCCTCACACGTTTATTCCACAGACTTCAACGCCATCAATCACTGAAACTCACATAGCCACTTAAGCCACCATCAAGCCACACAGAGGACAGAGGAAAATGGCATCGAGGCTTTTACTTCACGGAAATGACTCCATCACCAGTGTTTATGTATTTTTTAAGTCTTATAATAATACATTAATTCTACTCCTAAATTTGGGTATTTCATTTCCTTTTCTTTTTTTTCTCCCAAATTTCCTTTAGGAAAATCAGCATCTGAATTCAAAGACACTGTGTTACGTATCATAGGTTTCAGCACATGGAAAGTGGAGCATGACTTATGACCAGGTCTGCTTCTGCCAAGATCTGGTAGTGGTCAGGGAATTACTCACGCAGAAGAAATGCGGCAACCAGAATGTTTGTTCACTGAAACTCTATCATATTTAAAAATTATTACAAATTTAGATGACATGGAAAATTACAATCAGAATAACACAGAGGCAGCCAAGTATTAGGCTCAGTAGCCCTGGATGCAATCACACTATTTCTTTGGTTATATTTCTTTTGGAGACCAGGCCTAAAACATACACGTAAGTGGAGATGACTAGTCTCTTTATCATCAGGAAAGATTGTTGTCTTGCCTCAGTCAGTGATTTCACTCTTTCCCATGGTTTATAAACAATTATGCACTAAGGAGTAGTCATGGTTCTTAATATTTACGAATGGTATTGCTTGACCTATCAATAGAAAAACCAAACTCCCATCAACTTTTATTCAAGCTAAACGTGCAATGGTCTATGGCAATTTAATTCTAGCCCTCGAATGAAACATTTCAAGTAAAAAGAAACAAAGTTCCCTTATTTATATTTTTATATAATATACTTTATGATTTCATTGACTTTCTAAATTATCTACTTCCTCAAATATTTATCACCTTCAAAATTTCATCCAATTTCCCCACTGGGTGTATATGTAGGTCTGTCTTAGGACACGGGGACCTCTTTACATTCTGCTGAGTGAGAAATAGCTATGTCTACAAATAGAAAAAATTGCTGTCCTATGGCTAACTACTTCCCATGTTTAGCAGAGCTGATGGAATAAGAATGGATACAAAATGGCAGCATGCTTCAAAATCAACTGTTGTCTTTTCCCACAACTGTCCTCACTGTGGAGGGAGTACATGCTCAGCATTTCAGGCACTCACACTCAGTACATAAAGTGTCTCCAGCTATTAGGGAGAACATGCTATGAGGGGGACACCAGATGATATCCAGCTTCTCTCATATTTAAGAGGGTGTTTGGTCAATGCCAGAGCCCAAAGTTGGAGTACTTCATCTAAACAGTGTATATTCCCATAGGCAGTGGTACTTATGAATATGAATATAGAGGGACTCTGAGATGGATAATCTGAAACACAAAAGATGTCTCAAACATAAATAATTGTGAAAAATGCCATTTTTGCAACTATCTCGTTCAAATACTTCCAAGACTACTTTGCAATACACAAAAAACATCACAAAGAGAATGATATAATGAATTCCTACGTATCTCTTGCCTGGCTTCAACAATTATCAACTCAGCACCAACCCTGATTCATCTAAACCCTCACCCACTTCTTCTCAATTTTGAAACAAATTCCAGCTATCGTTATCATTTCATCCTGAATATTTTAGTTCCATGGTCAAAAGATTGCGTGTGGATCATTTGCCTCATACCAACCCTGTCTCATCTGATGTACACTAAATCCCCATGACTCATTGATCATGACAAGGTGCAATGTGGAATTTCGGAGTCAGCTGTGATCAACTGAGGGCTCAGTCACATATGAACAGTGGGACCTTATCGAACGTCATGAGCCTCCCTTTCCTCAGCTGACAATGGGATAAAAGTACCTCTTGGTGGGGTTCCTTGGGGAATTAGAAATATTATATGTAAAGCACATAAAGTACTTGGAAGAGGCTTGTCCATAGCTCCAGAAACAGGTGCAACGCTGAAAAATGTCCTACTTCTGACATCTAGTTGGTCTAAATCTCACAACAGTGTAAACACCCAAATCCATATGAACTTCGATTTTACTGTGAATAGCCTAACCAAATTCTCATTGTATTTCTACCATGAAAGAATTCGGGGTTTTTGTGCTCAGACACATGTGGGCCTTGTTTAGGAAGACAAATACAATCCTTCCAAATACTTATTTGAACTGCAGGCCCAACTTTACAAAGGGAAGTGACTTTTTACTACTATTGGCCCATTTAATATAGAATATTCAGTTGCTTCCTTATATGTTATTGACTCCTGAATCTTAAATTCTCAGTCGGCCCTCTCCTGAGGTACTGACAAGCAGATGCCACAGCTAACAGTCAGTTCTACATGCATATTCCTCAGACAGTTAATACTAGCACGCCCCACACTGAGATTTCTTCTTTCTTTGTCTAGAAACCTACTTGCCCGGTATGGGTTAGTGGTACAAGCCAGAAACATGGGTTTCATCCTCGAACAGGCCCTTTTCTTAACCCTCACACGGAGCTGGTCCACAATTCTGATGGCTTCTGTCTGTCTCCAGTCCAGCTTCCTTCTAACCCAGTGCACATGCCCTGGTTGCAGTCCGTTGTTACCCCTGTCTCTTAGTTACCCTCTCCTAACCTAGTCTCCCACCAACCAGTACTATCTGCCTCACTCCATTCTCTGCATTCTTGCTAGAATCATCTTCAGCTTGATATGTGACCATATCAGCCCCCTCCTTGAGGCCTCCACGAGCTCTAACTTTCTAGGGGAAAAAGGACCAACAAGCAATAGGCTTGCATGGTCTTACTTCTGCTACTTTCCCCTCCTTAAATTCCCTCTTCATCCTTCAAAATGTTAACTCAAGTTTCACTTCCTCCGACCTCCTCCCATACAGCTGGTCCTCTCTTCTTTGGGTCCCTGCAATCCCGAGACCTCACGTTGCAGTTATTTACTTATACCTGTTTTCCCTACGAAGCTGAACTCCTTGAGAGTTGGGACCTTGTATTATTCATCTCTGTATCCCTAGCGTCCACCACAAAGGAGACTCTCACAAATGTTTGCTGACTGCACAAATTCTGTTACTAGCATAACCTTAACCACATACCTCACAGTAGCAACGCTACCTCAAAAAAATGCCCACAGCTACAGGAATACAAAATCTTGTTTGTTCAAAATCATAATGCAACCAAAAATGTGTTGCAGACATACAATGGAGCATTATTCATCAAAGGGAACGAAATTTGGATACATGCTACAACATGGATAAACCTTGAAAAATTATGCTAAGTGAAATAGGCCAGACACTAAAGGACAAACACTGTATGATTCCACTAATATAATGTACCTAGATTAGAAAAAGTCACAGAGACAGAAAGTAGAATAGAAGATACCAGGAAAAGGGGAACGTGGTAATGGGGAGAGTTTCTATTTGAAATGATGAAGTTTCTGGAAATGGGCAGTGATGATACAACAAGTGAATGGGAGAGAAGGGATCTATTTGTTATAGCAGCCCAGCCCACCCTGACCAATACAGCCAGTACTTTAGGATTTCTCCAGGAAAACAAAACCCCCAAACCCCAAGCATAGATGTTTAAAATAACAGGAGATGACTTTACCACGTTGATACATCCACAGAACACATTCAATTCTGGAAATTCAGAAAATTTGATAACTTACGTAAAGTGTCAAATTTTATTTTTGCACTAAAAAGAGTTTGCTAAGAAAAAAGCAAACAAGATTATTGGGGATGTCTTTAAGTTTGAGGGCAGTCTTTACATCTTTTGGCCATCCTTCACTTTCTTTGGTCCAGACCTTCACCACTTCTTCACTGGCTGCCTGCTACATGGTCCTTCCGCCTCTCTGCCTCCCTGTGCGAGCTTTTCTGCACAGCACACTGCCTACCAATACTACCTTTCGGCATGTTTCTGGTCCTGTTAACAACTTGCAACTGCTTCCTAATATTTAGGGATAAATTCTCAGTTCCTTGGTTGGACACATGTTTCCCACAACCAGACCTCAAACGTTTCTTCTTTACCATCTTACTCCTGCTAAGGAGATAGATCTATCTACTGTACAAAAAGCAAAAAGGACCATTTGTTGTCCATCTTGGATTCATGTCATTAAAGAACATCACAGAGTATGTGGAAGCTAGAAAAGACTTTGGAGATTAGGTTCAAGTCCTCCGTTTTATAAATGAGGAACAGAGGCTAGGGGAATCCTAGTGAGTTGTACAAAATCACGAAGGCAGGAGACCTCCAGGGAAGCTCCTGACCACTCCAAGCTTGAGAAATCTTTCCTACCTTTAGAAATTGCAAGTTACTTTTTGTTCTGATCCTAGGGTACTACTTACATAATGCATGTCAGATTTTTGTCACTGGTATCCTATGAGGGAAAAAAATCACAACTCGTTCATGGTTATTTATTTTACTTTTCTTGGTTTCTACCCATAGGAAAATGGTGATGGTGCTATTTTACCTCTTTTTTTTTTTTTGGTGGTGGTGGTGGGGGAGCACCTAGTTCAGTACTAATTTCATAGGAGGTGCTAATTATTCAACAAATGTCACTTATTTAATAAGTGATAAGTATATGTTTAATTTTTAATATATTTAATAAAATAAAATTTATTATAAAATTTTCTAAGATTAACATTTTCCTGCGTCTCTTGCCCTACTAATTAGACCATTGATAAGGTTTGACTAGAAGTTCCCTATGAGCCTATACATTGTAAATTTTTTGATAAAAAATTAGTGAAGAACTACACTTGTATATAAACTCATATAAGGATATGTATTTCATTTCATTATATTCCATTATTGAGTTTATTCAAAGAAGGCTAAAGGATCATGATTTATTATTATTCACTAACTTGTAAAAAACTTCTCTTACTTCAGTGAATATTTTTTAAAGCACACTTAAAACAATGTAAAATAATTTGTTTGGATACAGTTTTGAACCTTAAAAAGCTTTACTAACTTACATAGGTTGTTCAAAAAGGGTCTTTTATGGAACACTACATCAAAAACTAATGATGTAACGTATGGTGATTAGCATAACAATAAAAAATTTTAAAGAGGAAAAAAAAAGGGTCTTTTGTTCCCCATCATGACATGAATCAAAGTAACAGATTAAGCACTTACATAAAAGAAGTACAAAAGTGCACACTGTTGAAAACTTATGATTCAATTTGTATTTATGAAGCACTCACATGTCAGAGACATGCTATGCATTTCACATGTTTCACCTCATTTAATTCTCCCCACTCAAGAACAAAGTATTATGATTATCTCTTTTTAAGAAAAGCAAACATTGGGGATCAGAGAGATTAAGCAATTTGCCACTGTGTGGTAGAACTGGAATTTGGGTGTAGGGCTGACTTGGTCTTAATCACACTGCTACATAAAACCAGCTGGATTTTTTGTACAAGATTTGCAAAACTGACAGGGAGGAGCAGGGAAGGGAAACTTTCAAAAGAATGGAGAATGGAAACTCTTAAAAAAGTGGAGATTAAAATAATTCGAATGTGAGAGCAAATGCAACTCTTTTCCAAGGATGCCTCGGACAAAACTTCGCAAAACAGGATCCTCTCTGCTCCTGGAAAATCTGGGTCCTCTAAATAGGCCCTGGCAAATTTGAAAATTCCTTTCCTGCCTCTGGAAAGTTGGGTGCACTGAACTCTGACACATGTACACACAGCTGGTATCTGGTGACTTCACTGTTTTGTTGGAATTTCAAAGAACATTAAGTTAGCTATTTAAAACCATACTACCGAGTTTTTTAAACAATGTTAACTTTTTCTTTGCAACTGTTTTAGAAAAACGCCTAGATTAGAAATGGCTAAATAACTGTCTTCATAGACACTATTTTATTCTATTTGTGGTGTTCTCAACAGCTCACTCTCCCCAAAACCACCACACACATCACCAAAACAACACCCGTGATAACTCAATGACCCTTCTCCCACAACTTGGATAACACTACAGTTACCCTTTCCAGAATGGAATGAGGGGTAAGAGGGCATCCAGACCAACGGAAGACCCGATACACAGGCGCAACTACCTTCAGTTGTATTAGAATATTCTTTCTTTTTTTCCCCCTACAAGAAAAAAAATCTTCAGAGGTACCCTTTCATTCTAATACGGCTTTCACTTATATACAGAGGTAAAAATATGCTGACCCATCTTCTTCTGTTAGAAGAAGGAGGTATCCCATAAATTTGCACAAACAAGGGCGCAGTGGAATTCCGCATGGGTACCGGAAGTAGAGCACAATTAGCAGAGGTGGGGTACGCGCTTGCAAGGGAGACGGGGACACAGGAGGGATGCGAGGTGGAGCCCCGGAAAGCTGCCCACAGCGGGCGATGGCTCTGGCCGGCGCCCGCAGCTCTGGTTTGTGCATCAGCCGCTGCGGGTCGCGCGCTCTTACCTCGCAGCCCACGAACCAGCCTCTCGGCCCAGGCCACTCGGGGCGGCTGCCCGTCCAGGGGGAGGTGGCGATGCAGCGGGTCCCCGCCGCCGGCCGGGCTGGGACTCGGCGGGCCCTGGTCCTCTCGCCGGCGCCGCCTCCCGCTCGGGTGGCCAGTGCCGTGGTAACCCCCCAGCCCCCGGCCCCGGGCGCCCACGGAGCTCACGGCGGAGGAGGCGGCCGACCTCCGGCTGCCCGGGCGCCACTCCACGTCCATCTCCACCACCATTCCTCCTTCCTCTCCTTCCACCTCCTCTTCCTCCTCCTCCTCCTCGGCCTCGAAGCCTGGGTTGTCACGGCTCCAAGCCTGCCGCGAGCACGACGAGAGCGGAGGAGAGGGGGACGCTGAGGCTCCGGCCGGGGGGTCCCGCGCGGCCGCCTGCCGGATACGCTCCATCTCGATCTCCAGGCCCCTCTGCTCGCGGAGGCCGCTTGGAGCCCCCAGGCCGGCGCCCACGGCCGCGCCGCCCGCCATCAGCCGGCCGGGGCCGGCCGCTCGGGACGCTGGCGACCGCTTCGGGGCCCCGGGCTGCTGCGGCTGCACGCGACTCGAGTTCACCATCGCGGTCACTGGCGCCCCGCGCGCCTTCGCCCTTCGCCGCGCCTGGCGCAGCGCGCTGCAGGAGCCATGTTCTTTTCTTCCCGGGGCCCGCCGCCTCCTGCTCCCCGCCCCCGACCTCCCCGCAGTCCCGCGTCCCTCGCCCGCCCCCTCGGCCCGCCTCCCCCTCGTCTCGCGTCTCCCAGCCGCCGCGGCGCGCTGCAGGGGGAGGTGCGAGGAATCCGCCCCCGCGGGCCGCGCGGTCGGCTAGCTGCGCCCAGGCTCGTGTTCCAAGTGAGGCGGGAGCCCAGGAGCGGGCGCCCACGTTCCGTTCGGGTAGAGGGGCTCCGGCAGGGAGGGGTTCGCTGCCCCGCCCGCTCGCCTGCGGGGAAGGGGCTTGTGGAGCTGTCACTGCCTGCGTGACCCCGACATAATGCTTGGGTCCCTGTTCACCGCCAGCCCCTTCTGCCTCTCCCAAAGTGCAGAGAGAGAGAGAGAGAGAGAGAGAAAACCATTTTGTGGGATGGTGTGTACTAGCGAAATCCAGCCTGCGCTGATATGCAGCAGGGGTAAAGAAATCTTAACTTCGTTTTGAAAACTACAACTAATGCTGACTTCTTTGGCCTCTGGCGGCCCCCTTGTTCCCGCTTCTGCTTTTTGGATGGTTTCTTCAGCCTCTGGTCGGCTCCTCTCTCCACACATTGTGAGGACCCCAAAGAGTCCGTCCTGGAACGTTCAGATCGCTGGTGCTCTGAGCTCGAGCTCATCCTCTCCCGTCCCCGCTGCCGCGGGCTCAGGCTCTGGCTTCCGAGTAACAGTCCCACGTCGGCCCCGGGGCCAGAACTTTATTCCCACTCTACGGTGAGCTCATCCAACTGGAGGATCTGCAGTTGTCTCAGACTTAACCTATCCCAAATTAAATATCCGTTCCCCTCCTCTTTTAAGCATGCGTCACCTCCTGTTCCCCCAGTTGAAATTTGAGGCATGGCTGTCCTCCCTACTTCTCAAGCTATGCTTCTCCGTGATACCCTCTTCTGTCTGCTCTTCTCCTCCTACACCTCATCTCCCCAAATCTTGTTACTTTTGCCCCATAAATCTCTCTGATAGGACCTCTGTTTCTCATCCCTGTTGTCAGTGATTTCGCCCAGGGCCCTTGGTCTATGTTTTGTTTTATCCCTCATTGGAACAACTAATCTGTCAATTCCATCTCCATCCGCCACTCCAGGGTCCCCGCGTTCCCAAATTGTATTCAGAACCAAAACTGCTCCTGTCACATTGATGCTTAGATACTTCTGGGGGCTTCCTACAACTTAAAACATAAAATTTAATTTCCTTAGGTTAGGTTAGTAAATTTGTTTGCTAGGGCATCTGCCCTTGTATTTATTTGTTTGCTAGGGCTGCCATAATCAAGTACCACAGACTGCGTGGCTTAAACAACAGAAATTTATTTTTTCACAATTCTAGAGGTTGAAAGTCAGATCAAGATGTTGGCAGGATTGGCTTCTCCTGAGGCTCCTCCCTTGGCTTGTAGATGGTGGTTTTCCGCTAGTGTCTTCACGTGGTGGGCTCTTTGGGGGTGTCTGTGTCCTAATCTCATCGGGACACCCGTCACATTGGATTAGGGCCTATTCTAGTGACCTCTCTTTAATTTAATTACCTTAAAAAACAAAACAAAACAACAACCCTGTCTCCAAATACAGTCACATTCTGTGTTGTTGGAGATTAGGACTTCAACAGATGAATTTTTGAGGGGGACACAACGTGCGCATAATATCCTGATTTTATTCAGGTAATCATGGCCACCTATCATCAATTCTACAGTTTACCTTGTTACTTACCTGTATCCTTTTCCTAACTTTGAGCTTCTTAAAGACAGGGTGTGTTTTTCTTATCTACTACCTCAGCCCAAATTCCACTTAGAATTCTTATTAATTAACACTCTCAAACATCTGTTTTCTTTATGCCGGTCAATTCCTCACAAATTTATTCTCTTTGTCTAAAAAATATGAAAACTGCCTGCCTTGGTCATTTGTTTAGGCCTCAGTTTCATTATTAGGCCTCTGTGTGCACAAAAGAAAACTTTGGGGTTTTTTTCCCCTTTTTAATCTCTCTTGTGTAAATTTAATTCTAAGTTCAGCTAGAAGATCTCGAAGGGTAGAGGAACAACTTCACTTCCCTACAATACTGAATTATATTCTCCCATCTGCTGTTATTTAGCCTTAAGGTATATTATCTCACCAATGAGATAACTCCCTGCAGTTATGTCCCAAGAGTATTTTGTTTTATCTTGTACGTTTTATTAAAATAATAATGTTACCTACTATACATAGTGAAAGCGCAGAACTTGAACCCAATAAATAAATAGTAATCGAATTAATTCTATTATTCTATTATTCCTTGGTATTATTGTTTTTCCATTCAGTATTCTCTTCCTTATATCTCTGGACTATAGACTTGCTAGCAAAAAAAAAAAAAAGTAAGAACAAAGAAGAAATGGATAAACTAAGGAGTAATCTGCTATGTTCTAAACCTTGAGCTGTGGAAAATCAAAACATCCTTGGGAAACAAGTATCACAAAACTGAAAATAGCATTTTGAATAGTGACTAAATAATGGCTTCATGTGGGGAAACTTGGGGGGCTCAGTCAGTCAAACATCTGCCTTCAGCTCAGGTCATGATCTCCAGGTCCTAAGATCGAGCCCCGAGTTACTGGGCAGGGAGTCTACTTCTCCCTCTCCCTCTGCACCACCCTCCTGCTCATGTTCTCTCTCTCTCTCAGATAAATAAATAAAATCTTAAAAAAAAAAATTGTTTTCTGTGTGCATAAGCTATTCCAAGGCCCTTGCACCTCAGAGGAGAAATGGTAGCACGTGAAGTTTAAAAAGGGCTCTACGTGAAGAATTAGGAAACCCCAGTCTTAACCAAAGATCTAACAGTATGATTATGACGCCTGACTAGGCTCATGCAGTCCCTCAACAATTCCACAGGGAATGAAAACTCCTTAAGGGCTGGGCTTTTTGCCCGTTGCAGTGATTGTGTTCTTTCATAGTGTTGTGCCCAGCACATAGCAGGTGCTCAACAAGTATTTGTTGTAGAATCCTCTGTGCTAGGTGGGGAGTGTCTGACCTTCAGAAGCTCATAATCCAAAAATTAAGAAAAAAGAAGTAGAAGCTCATAATCCAGTTGTGACACTAAACAAAAACCACATAAGTTATTGTAACAGATGGAAATATTTAACATAATTAATATAGAAGAGCACGGGGCACCTGGGTGGCTCAGTCAGTTAAGCATCCGACTCTTGATTTAAGCTCAGGTTATGATCTCAGGGTTTTTTTTCTACAGCTTTTCTCAGCTTTAAAGTTCCTATCTCTGGTGATAAGGATATCTTTGTACTTCTTAGTACAGGAAGGGTACCTTTCATATGGGAAATTGATTTCTTGCTGGAGGGGGACGGAGGTGGTTCTGAGTATCCTTATACCAACTGTTTCTTAAGTAACTTTTATTTAAAATAATCAGTATGCTGAAGTGCACTTTTTGGGGTGGCTTGCCCTTGGCCTCTATGGCGTCAAGTCAGTATGAAGTCTTTCAACACAAGAAGGGGTTGAGGAGAGAAACTACTCAGGCTGGCACGGGAGGAGAAGGTAGGGCTAGATCCTGGAAGCCCTGAGATGCATGTTAAAAAGTATAGCCTTTATTTAATAATAATAATAATAATAATAATAATAATGTACCTTCTTTGTCAATGATTTAAAACAAAATCTGAAGCATTCTTTTTAAGACTATACCATTGTCTCCAAAAGAATTTGGACTGACCAAAAATGTGTCCACACATACATAATTCAGAATTAAATATGTGCTTACCCAAAGTTTTAATTACAAATCTTCACAGGTAATGTGATTTTAAAAAAATTCCGAGAAATATTTTTGTAACATTATGGTGGATAGTATTTAATGCACCGCATCCTAAATCTTACATTCCAAGAATTTCACTACCAGTTTCAATCTTAGTTTTCATAAACCCATCACCAGCCACGCAATATATTTCCTGTTCAAATACCTAGTCATTCTTTCTGGCTTCCTAATGTTCTCTCTTGTGCTTTTACCTTGGCATGTTTTCCGCCTTGGGAGTGCCTCACTTTTCCTCAAGTAGGCCTTGAAGCTGTAAATTTCTCTCCCTTCCCACAGAATTCCTTCCTTTAATATTCATCTTACAAACCTATTTCTCATAGGAAGTGTTCTCTTATTAAATAAATGAGATGCAAAATTCATATTCTTCTTCACCTGGTTGCCATAATCCTATGGCCATATTGCAAGTTTTGATAATCTACAGGGCCTGAAATACTGTGTGGGATAGATAACATAGCTGGATACTATTTGGTTTTATTTCATCTGTGTGGTTAGTTCTTCTGGAACATGCTACACAAACCCCACCTCTTTGTCTCAGTGCCATGGTGGATCCTCAGACAAGCCCTTCAAAAGGCAGCTTAAAAACAGTCCAGTCTGATTTAATACTTAGTATTCTCCACACTTCTGGCTTCTGTATTATTAGACTCGCCTGTTTGTTTCCTGTTTTGCTTTTATTTTCCCATGTGAACAGATGAAGCAGACACAAGCAGAAGGACCCATTGGTCCTGCAGATTCCACCTTCCAAAGGAATTCCAAAAGGGCTCTCTGGCTTGTGTGGTATTGCT